TAAGTATCAAGTCGACTAGGATTGAGCTGTGTTGGTTAATCTTGATTGCAAGTTTGATGGGATTTAGATGGAGACAGATCTCTGGGCATGTCTGTTGAGAGAATTTCTAGATTAGGCTACCTGGGGTTGGAGGACTCACCCTAAATATGAGCATAGCATTCCACGGGTAATGGTCCCAGACTGAAAAAACATGAGAAAAGAAAGGAGCAAGGCATTCATCTTTCTGTGCTTATTTCTTTTTGCATATGTATGTGTGTGCAGTGTGCACGTGTGTATATGTATGTATACGTGTGGGGGCCCACTCGTGTCTGCAAGTGCACACGTATGTGTGCACATGATTGTGGAGGCTCAAGTTGATATCGCATGTCTTCCTCAATCACTATTCCACTTTGTTTATTGAGACAAGATCTTTTGCTGAATCTGGAGTTGGGTTGTTTGGCTATCCAGTTTGCCCTGGAGATCTCTGGTCTCTGCTTCCCAAGTGCTGACATTACAGGTGGCCAACATGTCTACCCAGCTTTTAGTGGGTTCTGGGAATCCAAGTCATGCTTGTGAGGTGATTACTTTATATATTGAGCCGTCTCCCGAGCTCTCCCATCTCCCCTCTCCTTCCCTTTCCCGTCTCCCTCTCCCTCTCCCTCTCTCTCTCCTTCATGACTAGATGCAATATGATGAGATACATTAATCCCTTAATGCCCTGAATTCCCACCATGATGGGCCGTACTCTTGAACTTTCTTTAAACTGTTTTTGATAGATATTTTGTAACAGCAACAAGAAATGTTATTAGAACAATAGCTGATGGACTTGGGGAAATATCTGGATCCTGACATAATTGTAGGAGATTGGCCACTACAGTATGGTTGGTAGGCCCTAAATTAGTAGGATTGGTAGACAGTGAGTGAATTCCCCCTATAAACCAGAGTATAAATAGAAACTTATGAATTACACTGTAATGGCTCAGGTTGGGCAACAACTGGTGTACCACCCATAGCATAGGACAGTGAGCTACACAAATCTCCATTTTGGACAGGTACTTGTTAAATTAGGGTGAGTTTCTTGGCATCCAGGTTCCTGGTAAGTAATTCACTCTATGTGAATATGGGCAGTCCAGGTTGGCTGGTATAGTTTGGGGAGGTTTATGGGAGCTGTTGTGCTTATAATGTCTAGTTATGTAGTCTTTGCCAAACAAATGCAGGTTATTCAAATAAAGGCATCCTTGATTGACCAAAGTTCATACTGATCAGCAGTACAGGTCATGGGGCTTTAACTCTGTGGTGTTACAACACTTGTCAGTGGAGATGTGGGTGGCGGTGAGGTTTTTACCTGTTGGGGATTTCTGGACCAAATTTGTGAAAATTCCTTAACTTTTCTGGTCTTTAACTGATGGCCTTCCTTTCACAATAATCAATAACTCATTCCCTTGAAAAATTCATAATATGATGACATTTGGGGAAGTAGAAGAGACTAGTCAATGTGCCCTATGAGGGGGTGGTCACTGAAACCATGCCCTTAAATACATGCCATGTCCCAGTCACTTATAGTCTCTCTCTCTCTCTCTCTCTCTCTCTCTCTCTCTCCCTCTCTGTCTCTCTCTGCCTCCTGGTCATTCTGAGGTGAACAACCTCCTCTGTCACATGCTCCTGACCCTATGATCTACTTAGTCTGAAACCTGCCTCAACACAGGCCTACAGCAATGGAGAGAGCTGACTATGAATCAAGACCCGTGAAAATGTGAGCATGCCTTCAAACCTAGCAATTGAGAGGCACAGACAGGTAGATCTCTGAGATCAAGGCCAGTCTGTTCTACATATTGAGTCCCAGGTCCAATAGGGCCACAGGAAGATCCTGTTTCAAAAAACAAAACAATGGATCACAATAAATCCTTTCTCCTTTAAGCTGGTTTTTGCAGGTCTTTGGTCATAATGACAAAGTGGGACTAGATAGACAGTAATATTTCAAATAAGTAATAAAAGACATTCATAAGTCATACATTATTACAAATTTATTCTCTGATTTCATTTTAGCAAAAACATAGATTATGTTGCTATAACTAAGATTTTCCATAGATTTTCTTCTATCGAAATAAATTTCTAAGCAGATAACGCTCTTCAAGTCATTAGTTTCTTATTCAACTTAATTTGTAGAAATTTAGCTCTGCACAGGCTGCAGAAATTGAAATTGTTATTGTTCTAGCTTTCTTTCTGTTCCTCAGCTCTTGCATCCAACAGCAAAACTTCAGATGAGACACACAGTATTCTGTAGAAGAGAGATGGACTTTATCACAGGGTAACAAGTGACAATAGTGGGCAAGGGACCACTGCAAGAGAAAACATTCTTGTGGAGTGAGAGGGACAACAGAAGGGATGGATTGTAGAGGACATGTTTGAGGGGTGAGGGGGTGGGGAAGGAAGAAAGAACATTGTGCCTACACTTCGAGCAGGCATTATGCTGTTTCTTAAAGTTTCTGGGAGAGATGGCATTCTTGAGGGATATTTTCCTGACCAAGTTATTGACGAGTTCTTTTAGATGAACTCTTTGGGGAAGGGACAATAGAAATTCTTTCTTCCTTGACAGGTATTCTCTGCTAGACAAGAATCCTATAGTTCTTCTAGCAGTTAGGAGAGCTATGTCTCAACACAGGGCCAGAGATACAATTCTGATCCCATTCTTTGGGCCAAAAATCATGTAATTGAGTAGATTTAAAATGACTCAAGAAAGAAAAACATCCTATAAAAATAGCCTTCCTTTAATGGGCCTCTGTCAAAACCTGGTATGTCCACCCTCCTCCATTCCATATGCTATTTCAAATCCTGAGGAAGGACAGTTACAATGCTTTCTCCTTCCTTAACATTAATGTGCTAGGAGGGATCCAGGAGGTGGGGCTCCATTGTGCAGGATTTCCTTATCATTGAAACATTCCCTCCTAGGGGGAAGAGAGATCCTCATTAAGACTCAGAAAGCAAACAAAATGTACAAGTCTCAGCAAGCTCTTGAATGTCACAAGATTCAAAAGGCGGCCCCCCCACCCTGGTTATAGAAGTAATGACAATTTTTGGGGAGAGGGGATCCTCCAACCAACCCAACTGCCTGCAAGTGGTTCAAGACCATGGTCTTCATCCATACCGGGGTGGACTTCTCAGTGATGCAGCGCCTTTGTGTCATGCTCCTGTACATAACCCAATAAACTGGTTAAGTAAACTGGATTTAGGTGGAACTGTTTCTTTAACCTGTCATTGGCACCTATTTGGAGTGTACAGACATTCACAGTATCCCAGGAGAGGTCACACAACAAGCTCAAAGCTGATTATGAGGGAGAAGTCCACTTCAATGGCTTTCAGGTCTGCTGGTTCTAAGCAGCTACCTGACAAAGTAACCAATACATTTCTTTTTCTTTTTAAGTTTTGGTGTTTTTATTTCTTTCACAATTTAAAACACATATATAATTTTCTTTGACCAAAGTGCACCCTTGTTTTTCCCTTATCCCATTCTCCATCCAGTCTATTCTCCTTCCAAGTCTCCAACCTGCCATCATGTCACGCGCGAGCTTGTGTGTGTGTGTGTGTGTGTGTGTGTGTGTGTGTGTGTCCCACTGCATTTAATTTGTGCTGCCTACATGAGCATGGGTTGTGTTTATTTGCTTGAGGGGAGGACAATGCACCAGCTCTACACCATTCCTCAGTAAGCATCAGCTGCCTATAGATCCTCTGGGAGGGGCAGAGCCCGGTGAGATTTCCCTTGTCCGTCAAAGAATGTTGATGAGCCTGGTCCTGTGCAGGTCTTCTGCTGTCAGCCACTGCCGCTGTGAGTTCATATGTGCAGCATCCTGTCCACTGTATGTCAATACCACATTTTCAATATGTTATATGACAATACTTGCATTCAAAATAAATCATTAATTTCCATACCAAGATCAAATATTGATGTATTTTATAAGTGATAACTATAAGTATGTACAAATTGTTGGAGTTCATCATATAACTTTCTATCAATAACCTTGTAGATTCTACTCTTAAGTGATAGCAATACTCATCTGACTACGTAAGGATTGTCATTCCAATTCACACCCATTTATCTAAACACAGATATTCAAATTTAAGGTGAATATAAGCTATGTAATATGTTCTTCAACTGTCAAGGACAACTATAACAACTCCATAATCTTGTGTACAAGACTGCTCATGTGGTTTGGATATAAAGTGTGCCACTGACAGGCTCCTGTGTTCAAGGATTGCTACTGCCTGCTGGCACTATGAACAGGTTACTGGATCATAGCATTGTGAACCCCACCAAAGGATCAATTCATTGACAAGGTCATACTATCTGGGCTATTAAGAGAGGTAGCCTATTTGGAGGAACTAGGTCACTGGTGCATACCATTGAAGGGGACATTGTGTCCCTGGCTACTTCATGTCTTTTTGTCTCCTGTCTGCCCTGAGGCAAGCCACTTTGTTTTACCACAGGTGCCCTTGCATCATGTTCTGTGGCACCCTGTACGATCCAGGGAACAACAGAACTGTGAAGCAAATAAATCCTTTCTCTACCCCCTCCCCTTTTAAAGTTATTATGTTACACTGACAAAAAGCTTATTAACACAATTACAAATCTGAACAAATAGAGAAAATAAAATATACAACCCACACTATTATTTTCCAAGAGTTTATTGCACTGCATTCTTATAGTCTAGTAATGCTGAAAAAAGCAAATTAATTTTCTATGTAAAAGAAGTACGTTGGAATATAATTTCATCCCCCAATCTTAGTCAAAGAACTATTGGTAGCTGATTCCTCTTGGGTGAGGAAGAGCTGGTCGTCTTAAAAGGAGGGACTTTGAATAGGCTGACTAGACTTTAGTGGATGAACTTATACTGAGGGACATCTGGGGACACTAATTTGACTTATAGGTCTTAACACAAATGACAGAATGTATAAATTTCATTGGGAGGGCCTGTGGGAGGAGCTAATGGGGAAGGGGATATAATGATTTTTTAGGATATTCTGTATGCAATACACAAAACTTTAATTAAAACGTTTATAAATAAAAAGAACATAGTTTGAAGAATATATTATCAGAACAAATGGCCCAAAGTGTATTTCTACATGTTAATCCTCACATTGATTATCCACCTTCCACCTCCATCCTTTGCAATTCAGTAGCTCAGGAGAGGGGCATGATTTGCCTTTTACAGAAGCCCCGTGATCATTTAGATTTCTCTAAATCCAAAGTCATGAAATCATATTTTTGCAAGTCTATAGTTTTTGTTTGTTTCCTGCCCATCAATTGACAATGATTTACACTTGTAAATGCTTGGAGAAGAATTTTTAAAGCAAATTGTTATTTTTTAACACAAGGTTATGAAATGTAAATTCCAATAAATATGGCAAAATGTTTAATTGGAGCACAGACATCATCTTTTGTTACATGTTACCTCTGTTATCATGCATAGCAAGACATGCTTTCAGAAGCCTTATAGATAAAAAGATGAGATTATTTACTATTTAGTACTTTACAGAAGAAAAAAAAAACCTGACAGTCTTAATCTGGAGGCACACAGTCCCTGTTATCACATATTACAATTACTTCCCTGAGTAATTCTGTGGTTCTCAATTTGCTCCTCTCTCATTATAATGTCAAATGCTGTAAATGTTTATACACAAAATAATTTTATTAGTATTCTCTGAACTGATGATTGTAGACTGAGTCAGTGATCTTGCATGCATATCAACTTCTACACTGCATTAAGCGTCAGTCTCTAGTTTCCTAATGACACTGAAGCAACAACTATGAGCTACAGGGAGTATTTCCAAACATGAGAGATCTAAGTGGATTTTATTTGAGTTTAGGAATAAATGTCAGCATCTAATTCTGTTCATTTCTTTTATGAGTCAAAGGATTCTGTATTTCACCATTGGTAATATTTTCCCTTGATAACTGCTGTTACTGAGAACGACTACACTGATAAATATTTCAGGGCAGCTAGAGCTGAATTTTTATTTACACAGATATAGGACTGTCACTGCATGATATTTCTTAAATGGAAAACATTTTCCCTCTCAGATCTCAATACACTGTCATCCTCAGTCCTCCCACCTTGTTCTTGTGGTAACCTCCTTCTTACAATAAGAGATCAAAGACATTCCTGTGTGAAAAACCAGAGAAGTTACTAATAAGATTGGCTTCTCTTTTCCCCAGGAATATCAAGTCTTCTCAGAGCTGACTGGTCACGTCCAGAATGAGATGCTTCTTGAGAAAGCTCTGGATCTCCTTCCACGAATGCTCCTGTGCAGCTGCATGTGGGATAACCTCTCCTCCCCAGTGGATGTTTGGGGACACAAAGGGGATTCTTGAGGCACAGCAGAGCGGGGAGTAGGGAGGCTCAATCAGGTGGCCTGCCCCAGGGTAAGACAGCACGGTCCAGTTCTTCTTCCCATTTCTCGTCAGCTGTGATGTAGCTTGCAGAGCATGTGCTTTGCTATTGAGAGCCTTGTCATCTTCTCCAACGACGAAGAGGAAATGTCCCTCAGCTTTCTCAATGGGAAAACAATATCGGCTATCCACATCTCCAGTTTGTTCATAAGTTCGATAAAACTCTGCGAATCCCAAGGCATTGGAGGATGTAAACTCTATATTGGTAGGTGTGGGCAGGCTGGTCTGACCACGATATACATGTAAATTGCCTATAGCAAAGTTAGGCCCATTAATAAGTACAGTGGCTGTGATATTTTTTAAGTTAACAGCCATAGAGAGTCCGACCTCTGCTCCTTTACATACAGAAATTACCCCAACACCAGGGCCGAGGACCTGAAAACAACAAAATGTGATGTTATTCTGTCCTTCAGCTAGGAAACCCAGAAGCTCAGACAATCAAGAACTTCAATGGGAAAAGGAAGCAAGACAAGTTAAAAAAAATAAAAAAGAAAGAAAGTAAAACAAACCAACAAATAAAACTATCCAGATCCTTGTGTATGACATATCTAGAATTCTGGAATGTAGAATTTATATTCAATGGAAATACTTCTTTAGAAGATAAATCAGGCTTTATTGACTAAGTATGTTGGAGTCATCATTATGCTTAGCTCTGAGTTTAAAACACCTTCAAGAAATACCAGTGTGAGACTGACAATATAGGTCAGAGATAGAATGCTTTCCTAGCATGAGATAGGCCCTAGGTCCAATCACCAGTACCACAAAACAAACCAGAACAATAGAAGCAGATGTAGAGGTAGAATAAGCAAATAACGAGTCAGGGAATAAACGATAGGTAAAATTCATTGCAGCAAATCTGAGCTCTCAGAAAGTTCGAAAGAACGGGTTTCCTATAGAAAGACATGAACAAAGAAGGGAATTGGAGTAGAGCATGAAACTTGAATAGAAAGCTTTTGTTTCTTAGGATCTGTCAGAAGGGAGCTTATCTCAACACTCTTTTTCATTGTCAGTCCTCAATAAGCATCTTTGGATCACCCACTATGTGCCAATCACTGGAAAGGAAAGGAACAACCTCTTGTTATCAGGGAACTCTTTGCCAGAAGAAAAGATGGGATATGAATTGTAGGAAGAGACATCTAGTTGAAAAGAATATTATGAATTCTAGAAAAATGCATATAGACAGATCAGTAGAATCAGGGTCTCAGAAGAAATGGACTATGAATTGAGTTTTCACATGAGATGAGAAACAATAGAAGCAATATGCTGAGTGTGGTACACATGATAATAGCCCATAAAAACCATTCTCCACAATGTCAAGGCTAGTATGACTTTGATTTTGTGTAGCAAGCAATGTATTTAAGTCTAAAGGGATAAATTCAGATGGATGTGAACCTAGTGTCCTTTACTATATATATGTAGCCTATGCTGTAAAGCCAACACATTCTACCTATAGACTTCTGTTCTCTCATAAAATATGAATCAAGAATTCAAAATTTTCTTGTCTATTATTTCTAGAATAAGATAGTGATATGTTGACTTAATGTCTCAAACACAGCTATCTTATAAGCTAAAGAATATGGCCAGAGAATTTCAAATATATAAATGTAGTTGCCTTATCAGGAACTCTAATAGTTTCCTAAACCGAAACCTGAGTCACCTATCTCCAGAGTTCTAGCCCATGAGAAAAGCAACACTTTATATTGATGTTGAAGACACCATCATCCACTTTCCTGGGAAATGTAAACAAAATACTCCTAATTGGTTCACCATGGGAGGAACAGATGTTAAACTACAGAGAAACAAAGAACAATACATTTAATGAAGCATAAGTACTGGTTTGCGATTTGAATGTAGAGCATAAGACGGTAAATAGCTTAATAAAGCTGGAAAAGAAAAGGGTAACATGATAATGAAGGTCTTTGAAAAACTGCTAGGTATTCCTGACTCTTCCTAGCTAAGAGCAGTATTAGGGGACTGCAGAGATGACTCAGAGGTTAAGAACACTGGCTGCTCTTGCAGAGTACCTAGGTTCAATTCCCAGCATCCATATGGTAGCTAACGTGGAGGCAGGAGCTGAAGCAAAGGCCATGGAGGAACACTGCTTACTATCTTGCTCCCCTGGTTCATGCTCAGCCTGCTTTCTTATACAATATGGGACCACCTGCCCGGGGCTGGGCCCTCCCACATCACTCAGCAATCAAGAAAATGCCACACAGACATGGCCACAGGTTAGTCCAGTGCAGGCAATTTCCCAATTTCCCTCTACACAGGTGTGTCAAGTTGACAACCAACGCTATCCAGCACAACAAGATACAGTCTCATTTAAGGATGAGATTCTTAGTAAGCTGACCATGTTCCAGTGAATGAATCTTATTGAAGGGCACTTAGGGACACCAATCTGATTCTCTTTCTCCTCTCTCTCTCTCTCTTTCTCTCTTTCTCTTTCTCTCTCTCTCTATATTCAAGTACAGAAATTTGGCAGGGGTTAGAAATGATGAGTACAGATATGGAAAGGATCTAAATATGATCAAAATATATTTTATAAAATTCACACACACAAAAAAATGTACATAAAGAAAGGCTGAAGTATATAAAAGGCAAATAATAGAAAGTTGTATCTAGCATGCTAGAAGGCCTGGGACTTCCTATAGTAAATGATCTTGACCAAGTGAGCAGTCATAGTCTACAAAAGCCAATCCTACAAGCATAAATTGAAAAAAAAATGAAGGCAGAAAAGTCAGACCTTATTGCAAAAGATTATTGACAAGGAATGATGGTGTCATTTCCACCGGTGCTAATTAAAAGGAAACATATTTGTGAGTCATTTATAAGAGTAAATATAGACAGCTCCTGGGGCTAGGGTGATAGCTTAGTGTTTGCTATGCAAGTGTGAAGGCCTGAATTATATTTCCAGCACACACTTAAGATCAGGCATGCTGACTTATATGTAGTTTCAGTGCTGGAGAGGTGAACACAGAGGACCCTGGGGGCTCACTGGCCAGCTAGCTTAGCCTAATAGGAAAACCCCAGGCCCCTGTGAAAGGACTCATTTCAAAAAATAAGGTAGACGGTTCTGAGGATCAATACTCTTAGCTTACCCCTGACTTCTACATGCATGTGTACACTCATGTACACATACACACACACCCAAACACTCACCCACACCCACACATTCACAAACCCCCACACAAACACCTCTCCCCACTCATATGTATATACATATGTGAATATAAGATCTTAGTCACTGGATAGGTATAGAAAAGCCAAATAGAGTTAAAGAAAATTATTTCTTGTAGCACAAAATTCAACCTTGGTTTTCTTGAGCCCTGGCTTCTTGTAAGGACAGTATTTCAAAAGATAAGCATCCTTTTTTTCTCCCTATGGCCTTCATTTATCGTCTATTTTTTTAAAAAATCGGTTTCCTTATTTTCAAGGCATTTGTCAACTTATGTCTAAGGATATTTCCTACTCTTTAGAAATTACCAAATTTGCCACTTGTGTTCAGCAGACAGAAATGTGGGAAATAATTAGAATAAGGGAAAAATCTCCACACAGATAGAATGGATTATATATACTCTCTATTTAGCAGTTGCACATTAAAATGAATGGCCTGGATTAATTGCAGGGCTTCTAAGATTTTAAATTCTCTATTAAAATTTTTGTTTTCAACTAATACATAATAACATATGTAGTTCTCTGCCTTCCACATGTACATGCACACCTGGCACACACACCCGCATACACACACACACACACACGCACACACACACACACACACACACACACGCTCATCACCCTCAAATCTCATGGAAAACTTATGAAGGTTATATTATTTATGAGATAAGGAAGGGCTAGAGAGATGGTTCAGCAGTCAAGAGCACTGGTTGCTCTTGAAGAGGACCCGGGTTTGGGTCCCAGCACCGACATGGCAGCTAACAACCATCCATAACTCCAGTTCCAGGGGATTCAGTGCTCTCTTCTGACCTCCTTGGCCATTGCATGACATGTGTGCACTTACATACATGCAGGCAATAGACTCATACACATAAAATTAAAATAACAAATAAAACACTTTTAAAAAGATAAGGAAATACTGAGGATGAGAGGCTAAGTAACTCCCCCAGTCTCTCAATAAGATAAAATGACACAATAAATATAACTCATTTCTGTCTGAATTCAAAGTTGATGCCTTTTGTCACAATGATGGATGAAGCCTAACTTCCTATGCACTGAGCAAACATTTCCTATGTTTTTTTTTTTTTTTTTTTTGAGCAAAGGACACTGGATAAGAAAGAAGTCATGAGAACAATATGGGAAAACAATAGGATTTCAAGTTCACCGAGGGAGACTCATACTTAGAAGATAAGGGAAGTTGTAGAACATTGGAGTTATTATAACACTAGGACTAAATCCTACTAGCGAGTCAAATACTACCTTAGGATGTCTCAGGAGAAACTCCACAGCTTCCTCAAAGTACTCTAGATCCACCTTCTCCAATAGAGGGGGCAGGTCGTCATAGCCCCAGTAAGCCAGGGCCAAGGCTGCAAAGCCATGACTGGCCAGGAGACTGGCCCGGAATTCAATCAGTCCACCAGTGCTTCCAAACAGATCAATGAGCCCTGGAAAACGACCTTCTCCTGAAAAAGAACATCACAAAACAGACTGTGTATGAAGGAAAGGTGAAGAAAAGACCAGTAAAAACATGAAACCCCCACAAAGAAATGCACTAGGAATCTTGGAACTAATTAATACCTAAATTCTCAAAATCCCCAAATTTTCAGTCTTGTATCTGGGGCAGAGGTGAGGCCTACTCAGTATAAAATGCAACATAACATCTAAGGGTTTTCTTGGGAACCATGTCTATTGACAGTTAACTCTTGTAGCCAAGGAGAACAGGATTCATTTCTATAAGCTTTGAGTAAAGAAAGCCATCAAAATAGGACCAGGACTTCTTAACCAATGAAAGGTTCACAGATGGTCTGTAGGAAATCAATGAAGATCCTCAAATTAGGTGCAAAATATGCTATCATGTTTCTATGGCTTTACAGACGAGAAGTACTCTAGGTGGGTGTGGAATATCTCCAAAGCCCATGCATTAAAGATGGAGCCTTAAGAAGGGCTCACCAGTTAGCGGTCTTCAGGTCCCTGAGGGCACACACTCACAGAGACTAGTAGAATCTCAGCCCTTTTTTCTCTTTTTCTACCCGGTCATGATGTAATCAGTTTTGTTATGCCACAAATTCCTACTTGGATATACTGCTTTGCCCAAGACAGTGACATCCTAAGAAGGTAATGGCTGCGTTTCAGATCAAAGCACATATCTTCAGACAGAACTTCAGGGAGATCTAAAATCTGGACCTATTGAAGTCTCTTGGCAAATTAATTTTGTTTCATTCAGCCCCAAGAAACTCTGACCAATAGAAGTTAGACACTACCTAGTTGTTAAGGTTAATTTTAGCTACCAACTTGATTGAATGTAAAAATCACTTGGGAAGAGAGTCTTGAGGAGGAATTGTGTAGATTAAGTTGGACATGTCTGTGGGGGATTGTCTTAAGTTACTTAAGACAGGAAAAAGCAGCCCACCGCGGGTGATTGTACTCCCTAGGCAGATCACGGGCTGCAAGAGTGAAAAAGGGAGCTAAGCAAGAGGTGTGCATGCGTTTGTTTCTATCTGTTCTTCACTGTGGATGTGACTAGCTGCCTCAATTTCCTACCTTGACTCATCCACAATGACTGGAACCTGGAACCTGGAATTGTGAGCTAAAATAAGCTCTTTCTCCCTTAAGTTGCTATTTTTCAGGGTTATGTTATCACAGCAATAGAAATGAAGTTAAGACACTAGTGGTATGTGTAGATAGTAGTGGGAAAACGTGTGTTCTGCTGTTTCATGGTCATTAGGGAATATGTTGTACTAATTCCTATTATAAAACTGAGCAATATTATGGGATAGGCAGTATAACTTTTCTTTACACCTTCTATATTTGTTGAAGGTGTTTGGTCCATCATATCAAAGCTTATTACAGCAAAAATGGAGGAATATGATTAAAGTGAACTTCAACATGATACAGTTTCTAAAAACAGTTGTGATATGGTTTCTGCCATATTTTAGAGTCTTTAGGCAGGCATTCATGAAATAAATTTAACCTACATCAAAAGCTTTGGAAACCTCCAAAGGTAGGGGCTTCATAAACGATATGGAGGGCAAGATATCTAGAACAAGCTCAATGATGGTTGAGTTGGAACCTGGGTTCGAGCGGAATATCACAAAATGCTTATTCTGACCCAAAGTTAACCCGATTCTAAGGGAAGACAGTGAACTCCACATATCATCCACATCCAAGCTAAATTTCTAGAGGCACAAAACAGGGAAAAATAGGATGACAATAGCCAGAGTCACTGTACTCACCTGGAGGGAGAAAGAGGGCTCCACGAAGGCGGCCTTCCTTTACCTGGATCCTCGTGACACCAGGTGCCACATACCACCTTTCCAAAGTCAGGCTGTCTTTTGGAGCATGAGGAACTACATTTTTTATTGGAAAATAAGGTTCACAAACTTTTACCTGGACCTGGAAGGGGGTGTTCATCACATCTCTTTTTGCTAGTCTAGTTAAGAGCTTTTCAGGTTTCAAGGACCATAAAAGACCCATGGGATGGACACCCACATAGTCTCCTCCAACTGAGGCATCTCGCTCCAAGTCTACCTCTCCAACTTCATTGGCCTTGTAGAAGGCCTGAGACTCAAACAGGTTCCCCTTCTCATCTTTCAATGATGCCTGAAGGCACACGACCTGGAAAGGAGTCAGGCCTGTAACTTGGATGTGCACTGGCTCATCAACTAGCGCACTGAGAGGAGTAGCGGTCAGCTGAGCCATTTTTGCAGATAATTCTTCTGGAATATTGTCACCAAAACCTCAAAACAGAAAGAAATAAGGAGTAAGGAAATAAAAGTAGTAATTGGGTTAATGAATGTGGGGGTACACTCCTTTGACCCCAATACTGAGGAGGCAGAGGCTGGAAGATCTTTGTGAGACGGAGGCCAGCTTGGTTTACAAAGCAAGTTTCAGGCCAGATGGGGCCACAGGGAGACCGTGTCTCAAAACAAAACAAAAACAAAGGGGAGCTGGAAAGATGACTCAGTAAAAGCGCTTGCTGGTCTTCCAGAGAACCTGGGTTCAATTCATATAGCCCACATAGTGATTCAGAACTGCTAGCATGCACTAGGTGCATACACACACACACACACACACACACACACACACACACACAATAATAAATGAATATTTTTTAAAAAATAAATAAATAAAAAGGACCAGGAGTCAGAATACTTAGGACTCAGTTTCAACTGTCCACTAATTTACAAATATTATCTAATAATTTTGTAATGCAGACATCTGGAGTTATCAACAAATTTCTTGAAGGTAGAAATCATTTTGCAAGTTTTATAACTTTGAAAGGCAGTGCAACTATGCATGCGTGATGTCAGTACATGAAGGAGAACACTCTCATGGACAATCCACGTACGGAAAAGCAGGATTGAGATGTGAGGTCGAAAATAGGCTGATCAACTGAGCATCTCTCTAAAATGTTTTATTTATTATTTTTTAATTTTATGTATATGAGTGTTTTGTCTGCAGTATGTAACTTCACCCATGGAAGGCTATGCCCACAGAGGTCAGAAGACAGAGTTGAATTCCCGTAGAACTGGAATTACAGATGGTTGTTAGCCACCAGGTGGGTTCTGGCAATAAAATCCGGGTCCTTTGCAATAGCAGCCAATGCTCTTTACTGCTGAGACATCTCTCTAACCCCAGTTTAACATCTCTCTAAACAGAACAGTTATCACCACTAATCTCTTCCGCAAGAACTTACATCTATCTAGCCCCAATTTAACATCTCTCCAAACAGAACCCCATACCCAGAAAGCCAGGAGTTATTACTGCAGAGTCAGGCAAACTCCCTACTGACCCTTCTTCCAGAAGAACTGTAAATCTGAAATTCTCAGTTTGAACAGCAAGAAATGGTCATAAAACAAAAAGATCTTCCCCCAGAAGTTCACTATGCTGAGAAGCCAGTCTCTTCTGATGAGAAAGGGCCTAATCCTCACTCCAAAAATAGTTGAAGCCTAGGTGCACTGGATCAATAAAGCTGCCACAAGTCCCAGACCTAACTCAAACACAGCGCAGACTGATTAGCTCCTCCTAGTCCCAACATTCTGACAGAGTAGGGGGCAGGCTCTTTTCCTGAGATAACTGCAATACTTTTTTGTGTGTGCGCGCATGTGTGTGTGTGTGTGTGTGTGTGTGTCCGTCCTCATGCAAGCACTTGTGGGTGTATACTCTGGTGCACACATGCATGTCAGAGGACAACTTGTGGAAATTGGTTCTCTCCTTCTACCATGTGTTAGGCTTAGTGGCAAGTGACTTTACCTTCTTAGCCATCTCACCAGCCCTTATTTTTTCAGACATAATTTTCACACAATACATCCAGGATTCAGGTTGTCCTGAATTATGTTTCACAAAACATATTAAAAATGATTCATGATTTTTAGAGGAAACCATTAGTATTTTAGAAAGAGCAATGGTCCAGATACTGGAATTACCAGTCAGGAAACAGAAGGGACCAACAAGCATATGAGCAGCTCAATCCAAAGTACCCGAATGAAACCAAGGCAAAAAGAATAAAGTACGTGCAATTTGTGGACAAATGTTCAAATATATATATGCTCTAATATATAATATAAGTTCCCTAATAATTGCTACTTTAGAAAGAGAGTTCAGAGAAAAGCGCAGAAGAAATCTTTGAAAAAACAAGGACTGAATAGTCCCACAATTTGTGGAAAAAACGCTGTGCCGCAGTTGCAAGAAATTTGACAAACAAAAGGGGCAAAAACCAAGAACGCACAGCTATTGCGTTATAGCCAAACTGAAAGTACACAGAGCAAATTTTAACATAGCCAGAAAAAGTAGGAGCATTGCATGCAAAATGATGAAAACAAATAAAATTTGATTCTGCCACAAAAATGAGAGCAAGAGAAAAATAAATCTTTACAGTGCTCAAAAGGAGAGGAGAATCGAATAAAACATCTGGCATTCCTTAACTAACAAATATGTATTTCAAAAATGAAGGCAAAATAAAGATATTTTCAGGGATAAAAATGAGAAACTACAGTAAATCAATGCTTCAAGAAATTCTATATGGGATGGAAATTATATCAAGTAGAAAACTTGAATTGTTTGAGAATGAGGAAAAGCAAAAACATGTCAATCATCTGGGTGAAAATAAAAGACGTTTTTCAAAATTTCATCATCTATATAGATGCATATGTGTGTATAAATATAATTAAAAGGTTATACATTTTTCAAAATAAAAACTGTACTGCGAAGCTTATGTAGGGTATAGAAATAAAATCTGGCAAATAGGTGGCAATATGATAAATATAATTGTAAGACTTAATAGCAGTGCTTTTCAAATAATACAAGATTTTCTGAGGGTAGGGTGATAACTTACAGGGCTCTGCTGTACCTTGCTGAGCTTGGAGACAATAGAGCAGCAAGCTACAAAGAAAACTATGCAGTGCTTAAGCACTTACTGTGATGGTAGAGCCAAAGACTGAGAGAGTGTGCAGGCACAGGAAGGTCAGTGGATCAGCACAGGCACACAGGTCTTCTCACTCAATCTCAAACGAAGGCTCTGACAATTTATGTGTATCCTAGCGGTTGAAAAAAGTGCTGGTTATCCACTCAGTGTAGAGAAATGTGATTTTAAATATCACCCCTTTACCACGCATACGTAGGCTGAGCAGAGGTCCCTAGAGGTCCTTGGAACTTGAACTTTGAACAAAGACCTGAGATAAAGAGACCTAGAAATAAAAGCATTTGTGTTACTAATGCCAAAAGGTCCAGAACAGGCCTGAGTCTTTGACAGCAACTCAGAAACTGGCTCATGTGCTGAGGCTTGGTAGTCAGCTCCTGTGCTCCCAGAACTAGGGAGGCTGAGGCTGGGGCAAATTTGAGGCCAGCCAGGTCTACATAGTGAGATCCTGTCTCAGAAATACAACCTAAACAGGAAACAAACACAAAAAGAAACTCTGTGAACCAAAATATTTTGTATTTCAAATAGAAGTTTCAGAGGCAAGAGAGTAAAATCATCCAAGATTCATTCTTTCACATATCTGGAGTCGATACTAGCTCTGAAGTGGGGATACTAGCTCCAATATATGTAGTCCATGTGGGCCTCCTTGTGGCCTTTCTGCTTGAGCTAGTTTGGGTTTCTCACAGCGTAGTTGTGGGGCAAGAGATAGCCCAGTGTAAACTGTAATCTCTGCCATTTTAGATTGGTCAGAGAAATGATAAGTCTCCGTCATAATTCAAGCAAAGAGAATATAGACTTTTCTCACCGTAGGTTAGCTGTCAGTCACGTTGGCATGGGAGTATGGAGAATGAGATGTGTATGTGTTGCATATATCTTTCCCAATGTGTTGCATTGGGAAATACAATATGCCACAAAAGAAGGGAAGAATAATGGAGTACATTGCAAATGTGATGCATGGAAAGCAGATGCTAAGGTGGGAGGTTTAAACCAATAAATTAACAATTGCATTAAATAAAAATGGGTTAAACCCTGATTAGAAGGCATACTGTCAGACTAGTTGGGAGTTGAAGAAGCCAATTTCTACTTTTTAGGAACACACTGTCAAAATAAATACTAAAGCAAAAGGGAAAAAATTATAGAAGGGAAGAAAAAATATATGCAATAGAAACATTGAATATAAGAAAACCCACGGGACTACATTCAGAAAGTCTAGCCTACTGACAATTGACGTTGTCTCCACGGAAACCACCAGCTGCTCCTATCTGTTAGATCCCCAGGGTCAGAGCAGCAACAGGAGCAATAACAGACTCTGCCCCTCTCTGCCTTTAAATTGAACTGTTTCAAAATGGAGTTTGATATTTCATAATTTCTTTTTTTGTATACAGCTGAATAAGATTCTAATGTGGCTGGGCATGGTGGTACACACCTTCAATTCAAGCACTCAAGAGGCAGGATCAGGAAGATCTCTATGAGTTTGAGTACAGCTTGGTCTCATAGCAAGTTCCAGGCCAGCCAGAACTGTAAGGTGAGACCCTGTCTGAAAAACAAAACCCAAACAAACAAACAAAATGATTATAGTGTGTACTGCGTTTTTCAGTGATGATGTGGCATTTTTATTGGATAGAGAAAATGTTGTTTTTTAATCCGATCTGCTAGGCTCTGTCTTTTGGTTAGAGAACTGAGACCATCAACACTGATTTAGTATTAAAAGATGTGTGTCGGTTCCTGTCGTTTTGTTGATTTTGTAGTGTTTGGTGTTTTCCTAAGCCTTGTTTGCTTAACTACTATCCTGGTTTTCTCCCCTTTGGGTATGTTTATCGTTCTCTTTAGTTGCCAGAATTCCTGTCAATATCTTCTGTGAGCTTAGTAGTCATAAATTTCATTAACCTGCAAATCCAATTATGACAAATGATTTTGCTGGGAGTAATAGTCTGGATGCACAGCTATATTTCAGAACTTGAAACACATCATTCTAAGCCCTACCACCTTTAAGATTTAAGAAATCTATTGAGAAATCAGCTGTTATTCTGATGGGCCTGCCTTTATATGTCTTGGCATTTCTCTCTTGCAACTTTCAGTATACGTTCTTGCAGTATGAAGGTGGATTTCAAGCAGAAAAATGATAATATTCATAACACTAGAAGCCACAATATATAAACAACTCATTAGTATTATCATAGTACATATCTGTGTGTAATTTTTTAAATATTTTAAATTCTCCCTAATGTTTTCAAATTTCGTACAATGTATTTTGATCCTATTTAGATCCCCTCATGTATTTGCACCCTCTTACTATCCCCCCCACAAAATTTCTATAATATATATTAATTTTTAAGAGCTGAAAAATATTTCATCTTGCATATGCCACATATCTTCATTATTCATTCATTGGTTGACGGATATCTAGATTATTTCCAGTTCCTGGCTATTATGGAAAGATCAGCAACGAACATGGATGAACAGGTATTTCTGTAGTAGAGTCTTTTGTGTATATGCCCAAGAGTGGTGTTCTAGTTTGCTTTCTCTATTGCTGTGACAAAACACTCTGACCAAAACCAACTTGGGGAGGAAAGGGTTTATTTGGCTTACATCTCCCAGATCACAATTCATCAGGGAGCCGAAGGTAGGAACTCAGGGAAGGAACCTAGAGCACAGGCCGTGGAGGAATGCTGCTTACTGACTTGCTGCTCCCCTGGCCCATGTTCAGACTGTTTTGTTATACAATACAGAACAATCTGCCCAGCGGTGGCACTGCCCACAGTGGGCTAGGCCCTCCCATATCATTCAAAAGTCAAGAAAATACCCCAAAGACATGGTCACAGATGAGTCCAATGGAGGAAATTCCCCAATTGAGGCTCCCTCTACCCAGGTATGTCAATTTGACAACTAAAGCTATCCAGCACAAGTGGTATGACTGGATCAAATGGTAGATCAAATTCTAGCTTTTTAGGCATCTCCACACTGATTTCCATAGTTAGATGCACCAGGTTTGCATTGCCCCCAGCAACAGATAAGAGTTCCCCTTTTCTATATCCTCACCAGCATTTGTCACTGTTTTTTTTTTTCTTTTATCTCAGGCATTCTAATTGGGGTAAGATGAAATCGCAAAGTAGTGCTAATTTGCATTTCCCTGATGCCCAAATATGCTGAACATTTTAGAAAGTATTCTTAACCATTACATTTCATCTTTAAAGAACTTGCTGTTCAACCTGCCCTGCTTTTTTAAACCTGGTCTTTATTGTGATTTTTATTTTTATTATTTTTTAAAAATACTTTTATTGAACTTTTGTACCTTTCATACAACAGTTCTTAATCAAATTTAGACCCCCTCCCCCATCCATGCCCCCACACCTCCACCGAACCTCATGAAATTGGCTTGTTTGTGGGTGGGGTTTTTTTGTTTTTGTTTTTCTTTTTTTATATTTAGCTTTTTGAATTTTTTGTATATTTTAGATAGTAGCCATCTGCCTGAGGTACAGCTCGTAAAGATCTTTCCCATTCTGTAGGCTGCCTCTTCACTAGAATGAGAGTGTCCTTTGCTATACAGAAGCTTTTTAGTTTCCTGAGGTCCCATTTGTCAATTGTTGAACTTAATGCTTGCTCTGTAAGAGTCTTGCTTGGAAACTCCTTTCCTGTGCCTATTAATTCAAGTGTATTTCTTACTTTCTTGTCTATCAGATTCAGGGTATTGGATCTTATGTTGAGGTCGTTGATCGATTTGGAGTTGGGTTTTGTGCATGGTAAGAACTAGATATCTAGTTTCATTCTTCCACATGCATTTATATAGTTTTGCCACCTCCATTTGTTTAACATGCTATCTTTTCTGCAGGATGCATTTATGACTCCTTTGTCAAAAATCAGGTGACTGTAGATGTGTAGATTCAAATCTGGGTCCTCAGTTCTTTTCCACTGATCCATATGTCTGCTTTTATGCCAGTACCATACTTTTTAAAATTTTATTTATTATTTTTATTTTATGTGTATGCGTGTATTGTCTGTATGTAGGTTAAGTGCACCTGTGTCATGCAATGCCCATAGAGATTAGAAGAGGCTGTCAGATCCCCTGGGACTGGACTTGTTAGCTGCCATGTGGGTGCTGGGATTTGAACCTGGGTCTTCTGCAAGAACAACCAGTGTTCTTAACCTCTGAGTCATCTCTCCAATCCCTCTTTTAAATTTTCTAGTTTAGTGGAATATAGATATTAAAGTATGCCCTTATGGATTTCTGAAATTCCTGAGGTTGGTTTTAACATATCCCTTTTCATCTTCTAGCTTGTTACTTTGGGTCCTCTCTTTCTTTTGGTTAATTTGACTAAAGGTTTGTCAGTCTTTACATAAAACCAGTTCTTCATTTTGTTGATTCTTTGTGTTGTTTTCTTTGCTTCTATTTCATTAATTTCAACCTTGATTTTATTTATCTTTCTTTTTTAGGTGTTGTTTGTTCTTGGTCTCTCAAGGCCTTCAAGTGCATCATTAAGTTGTTTATATGAGATGTTTCTAATTTTCTGGTGTAGGTACTTAACACTATAAATTTTCCTCTTAAAACATTGTATCCCATAGGTTTTGGTATGCTGTGTTTTCATTTTCATTCAATTCTAGAATTTAAAAATTTTCCTCCTTGTCTTCTCCCTTGATCCAAGTGTCATTCAGTAGTGTGCTGTTTAGCTTCCATGAGTTTGTGTATTTATCAAGCTTTATTCTTTTGTGGTTGGATAGAACACAGGATGATTTTTCAACTTTCCTCAATTTGTAGAGACTTTCTTTGCGTCCTAATATGTGGTTAATTTTGCAGAAATTTTCATGGGCTGCTGAGAAGGAAGTATATTCTTTGGTGTTTGGATGGAATGTTCTGCAGATGTCTGTTAGGTCCATTTGATTTATGGTGCTATTTAACTTTGGGATTTCTCTATTTAGTTTTTTGTCTGGTTGACCTCTCTATTGGTGACAGTGAGGTACTGAAATCTCCTACTATCACTACGTTGGTGTCAGTGTGTGATTTTAGATCTAATAATGTTTCTTTTATGACACTGGATGTCCCTGTGAGTGGTACATACATGTTTAAGATTGTAATGTCTTCCTGCTGTATTTCCTTAAATGAGTAGGAAGTGACCTTCCCTGTCATTTCTGACTAGTTTTAGCTTGAAGTCTATTTTGTTAGATGTTAGAATAGTCATATCTGTTTGTTTCTTAGTTCTATTTGCTTAGAATATATTTTCTCATCCTTTTACCTTGAGATGGTGTTGATCACTGTTTTTGAGGTATATTTCCTTGGAGCAGAAAATCAATGGATCTTGTTTTCTAATTCAATCAGTTAGTCTGTATCTTTTTACTGGGGAGTTGAAAACGTTAATATTAAGAGCTCTCATTGATCAATGTTTATTAATTCCTGTTATGCTGTTGTAGTACTGTTTTCTTTAACCTCTTTTGGTTGACTATCCTAGGATACTTTATTTATTTTGTGCCCTCTTGAGCGTGTTTAATCTTCTCTTCAGACTGAAGTATTTCATATTTCTTGGACATAAATTTCTTAAATCTGTTTTTACCATGGAAAGTTTTTCTTTCCCCCTCAATCACTACTGATGGTTTTTCTGTGTGTAGTAGTCTGGGCTGGAATCTGTGTTCTTTCATGGTTGTAGAACATTTTTCAAGCCCTTCTGGTTTTCATAGTCTCCATTAAAAGTCAGCTGTTGTTCTGATGGGCCTGTCTTTATATGTGACTTGTCCTTTCACATAGCTTTAAATATCTTTTCTTTGTTTTGTACATTTAGTTTTGACTGCTATACGATGTGGGGACTTTCTTTTCTGGTCCTGTCTACTTGGAGTTCTGTGTGCCTCTTACTTTGATAGGTATCGCTTTCTCTAGATTTAGGAAATTTTCTTCTATTATTTTATTAAAATTATTTTCTGGACCTCTGACCTGGGTTTCTTCTCCTTCTTATGTACTTAGTATTCCTAGGCTTAGTCTTTTTACAGTATCATAGTGGTCTTGCATATTCTGCTCCTTATTTATTTTAGATTTGACGTTTTCTTTGACTGATTGATCCATTTCCCTGAGCTTGTCTTCAAGATCCTATATTCTCTGTTCCATCTGCTCCACTTTTTTTTGGTTTTTCCTCTAATTTTTTTTGTTTAAGTTCCTGAGTTTCTTATTTCCCTCTGGCTTTTCTTCAGAGATTCTGTTTATTGAATTCTAATTTCATGTTTTTGAATTGTTTTAGCTATTTCACTCGACTGTTTTCAAAGTTTTCATTTCATTTTTATTCAAGTCCTCTTTGAGTTCCTTAATGTATTAATTGCTATTTTGGATCATTATCTTCTGTATCCACTAGGTTTCCATTCTCAGGAACCATTACTATTGGGGGTACCAATTTCTGAAGTAGTCATATTATCTTGGTTATTCATGTTTGTTTGATTTTTTTTTTTTTTTGATGAGACTAGGCATCTGGGCTTCTGTCATTGATGGTGCAGGTTGGTGATCTTGACTTTGTTTAGTGGTTATTTGTGTCTTTGCTGTTTCCCCAACTTATGAGGTTAGAGCCTAGGTGATTTGTGCTTGGTGTTTAGTTTTGGGGTCACTTTATGTTGATGTACAAGTGGGGTGTAAGAAGTTGTTTCAGTTAAAGTAAGGATAAGTGCAACTTTTGAGTTGAGGTTCCAAGGTTGATTCCTCACAGTTCTGGAACAACAGGGTGAGCTGGAGGATTGCTAGGTAAACACATTGGCTGATAGCTCTCAGTCTGGGAGAGGATCTGTGAAGATCTTGGGGAACAAGGATCCTAGTAACCTGCACAGTTCTGAGTGCAAGGCAGGTCTGGAAAAACTCCCAGCAGTACATACGAGTTCCTGGCTGAGCAGAGATGACCATAGCAGAGTGCAGGGACATGTGGGAAAGGAAATTCACCATAGCAGGCCTAGAAAAGCTCCCAGACCTGGGGGTATTTCCCCAGTGTCAGACTGGAAAGTACTCAAAGGTCCATGCAACTGTGTTTCAAGTAGGCTAGGCTCTATCTTGAAATGACAACAGAACTTGCCAGCACCGTCCATGTGGTACTTGTTTTATAGGCATGAACAATGTAAGAGTGAGAGGGTGTCATGAAGACTTATGCCATAGTTGTAAAGGACTCTGAGGCAAAGTAACGTGGGGTAGTATTGGATTACCTGTAAGGAAGACCTGTGAGACCAGTGTGTGAATGTGGAAGTGAAGCCCAGTTGTAATGGAGACCTCAGGATGTTGGTGTGCCAGGACTAGAGGACATACACTGAGAAAAGCTACATGCATGGAATAAAGATGCCCTAAGAAAGAAGCTACACATGCTGCACCCTACAGAGCTGGAGAAACATGAATACTCAATCACTTTTGAGGCCAGATAACCCCATGAAAAGCCTCTGGTGCCTCACATGGTAGTGCAGAATGTAATGCCTTCTCTGTTGGGTTTTGGTCTTTCTTTAGTTCAACATTTCCTTACTAGGTCCCTATCCCTCCCTTTGAAGTAGGAATGTTTATTTTGTACCTTTGTGTGTTAAAAGTATGAAACTTGCCAAGCACTCAGAAGGCAGATACAGGCAGGTCTCTGTGAGATTGAGATCATCCTGGTCTACATAGCATGTTCCAGGCTAGCTGGGGCTACAGGGAGACCCTGTTTCAAAAAGACCAAAATAAGTATGAAAATTGGGGCTGGAGAGATGGCTCGGTGTTTAAGAGCACATACCTTTATTGTAGAGGACCAACGTTCAATTCTCAACACTCACATTGGTCAATTCACAACTACCTGTAAGTCCAGCTCCAGGGGATCTGACCCAGCACTCACATACACAGACACATAATAAAATTAATAATTTTTAAGTGTGAAACTTGTTTTTTGACGTTATTGGGGTTCACAGTTAAGACATTATTACCTGAATCACAGAATAGACTCTTCATTTTCACTTTTGAACAATATCGTAACTATTGACTATTATGAGGACTTTTTTTTTTGTCTTTTTGAGACAGGGTCTCCCTGTAGCCCCAGGTGCCCTGGAACTCACTATGTAGACCAGGCTGGCCTTGAATTCACAGAGATCTGCCTGCCTCTGCCTCTGCCTCTCGAGTGCTGGGATTAAAGGCATGCACCACTATGCCTGGCTATGAGGACTTTTATAAGTTGAACTGGATACAGTTTACATTATGAGATGGCCATGGGCCTGTGGAAACAGTGACAGAAGGCTATGGCTTAAAGGTGATATAGTTGGGTGCCAAGTGACAAGGGGTGTGTTTGTGATGCTTAACTTTATCAACTTGATATATCTGGAATCACTTAGGAAATAAACCTCTGGGAATGTCCTTAATAGAATTTCTAGATTGGGTTACTTGCACTGTAAGATCTACCTTGGGTGATGCCATTCCAAGGGCTGGATTCTGAGACTGAATAAAAAGAAAGTGAACTGTGTACCAACATTCACCTCTGTTTCTTTTTGAAAAAAAATTTATTTATTATTTTTATTTTTATGTATATGAGTGTTTTGCCTGCAGGTATATAAGTCCCTGGAACTCCAGTCTCCTGGAACTGGAGTAATGGATGGTTATTAGCCACTGTGTGGGTGCTGGGAATCGATCCTGGGTCCTCTGGAAGAACAGCAAGTGTTAACTATGAGCCATCTCTCCAGGCCTACCTCTCTGTTTCTTGATGCAGGTACAATGTGACCAATTGCTTCAAGCTCCAGTCATCACAGCTTCATACCATGATGGATGTACACAAACCCACGCTTCCTTAAATTTGTTCTGTAAGATATTTTGTCACAGAAATAAGTAAAGTAACTTAAAAATTGGCTCATGGGATTTTAGGATATAGTTGGATCTTGACATAGTTGCAGTAGGCTAGCCACTGCAAGAACAACAGCAAATTGGTTGTAAATGAGTTGGATTGGAAGGCAGTGAATAAATTCACCCTTTAAACCAGAGTAAAACAAAACGTTCTTGAATAGAACGCGAGGGGACAGTGTTTTGGGTAGTATCTAGGGTGCTGCCTATGGCGTAAGTCAGTGAAATGCACAGGTCTACATTTGAGAGAGGTATGTTTGTTTTCACACACTTTCCTGGCAAGTCATTCACTCCATGTGACTGAGGACAGTCCAGATGGCTGGTATGCAGTTTTAGGAGGTGGCATAAGCTGCAGGTCCTGTGATTTCCATTTGTGCAATCTCTGTCAAACAAGTAAGGGCTATATAAATAAGGGCAACCCTGGTCAAGCAAAGTTCAGTACCGGTCAGCGATGCAGGTCATAGAACCTCAGCTATGTGGTTATTACAGCACTTCATAGCTAATATTTTGGATAGAGGTAAGGCTTTTCATTTTGGCATTTCTAGACCAACCTTATGAAAATCCCCTGATAGGGACTAGTTCAGGTTTCTTAATGGCTTTCCTTCATTTATCCCTTGAATTAATGGCATTATTGAGAAGTGATGGAGACTAGTTGGTGGTGGTGATTTAGGGGGAGTGGGTCACTTGAGACCAATCTTTAAAGATACCTTTAAAGATATCTGTTTTTGTCTCTGTTTTTCTAGTCACTGTGAAGTGAGCAAACTCTTCTGTCACATGCTCCTGCCACCATGCTATGCTTAGGCTGAAACCTGCCCCATCACAGGCCTACAGCAATGGAGCCAGCTGATGATGGACTGAGACCCATGAAAATGTGAGCCATAATAAATCTTTCCTCCTTTAAGTTGTGTTTCTCAGGTTTTGGGCCATAGGAGCAAAAGCAATAACACAGCTAGGAACATTTCAAATAAGTAATAAAAAATTCACAAGTCATATATATCCTTCCATATTTATTTTCTAATTTCATATTAAAATCTTTGATTGTGTTGTTATGAGTATAATTTTCACAGAAATTTTGTTCTATTGACAGATATCTCTAAGAATCTTTCTTTTGGTTGTTAGGTTCTTATGCCACATAATTTGGAGAAATTGTGCTCTCCAACGCTTTGTAGAAGCTCAGATTGTTACTGGGATCTTGCTCTGGCCTCCCTTCTGCTCCCTGGTTTTTGTGGCCTCTGTCAGGTAACTCAGAGAGATTCAAAGAGCATAGTAGAGGACAGTTTGTTACATGAGTGATAAGGGATAAGATTGAGCAACTATCAAAGGACCAGTGCAGAGGGAAACATCCCCATGGAGCAAGAGTGGACAATAGCAGAGGGGCCATAGGACAGGGAACACCCTGGAAGTGGAAGAGGGTGAGAGGGGACCAGTGGGGCAACCTACATTTTTGAGTAGATGTTATAAATATTTCTTAAAGTTCCCAGAACAGACAACTTTCCTGGGGGATAGTTCCTGTAAGTAATCCCCATAAACATACTGCTTCACTAATCCAGATTTGGGTGGAATCATTTCTTTGGTCTGTCAGCTGTGTCCTATCTGAAGTGAACAGACATTCATGGTTCCCAAGGAAATATCACAGAGTAGGCATGACATTGATTAAAAGAGAAAGGCCCATCCTCAGTGACTCTCGTCTACTAATTTCTAACTACCTAACTAAATTACATTTCCTTCTTTCTTTATTTTTGTTTTTCATTTTTGAGACAGTGGCTAATAGTTCAGCAGGGAGATGTAGAGTTCCATGATGGTTCTACTTTTTTAATGACAACAGTGAGCCACAAGAACATTTTCAAATGTGAGAGATCTCATCATATTTAGTTTGAATTTAGGAAATCAACAAACATCAGCATCTAATTCTTTTCATGTCTGTTTCATAATGAAATGATTCTATGGTTCATAATTGGTCATTTTTTTCCTTAGACAATTGTTATTACTGAGAATGGCTATGATGATAAATATTTCAGGGCAGCTAGAGCTGAAATTCTATTTACACAGATACAGGAATCTCACAGCACGATATTTCATTAAATGGAAAACATTTTCCCTCTCAGATCTCAATACACTGTCATCCTCAGTCCTCCCATCTTGTTCTTGTGGTAACCTCCTTCTTACAATAAGAGATCAAAGACATTCCTGTGTGAAAAACCAGAGAAGTTACTAATAAGATTGGCTTCTCTTTTCCCCAGGAATATCAAGTCTTCTCAGAGCTGACTGGTCACGTCCAGAATGAGATGCTTCTTGAGAAAGCTCTGGATCTCCTTCCACGAATGCTCCTGTGCAGCTGCATGTGGGATAACCTCTCCTCCCCAGTGGATGTTTGGGGACACAAAGGGGATTCTTGAGGCACAGCAGAGCGGGGAGTAGGGAGGCTCAATCAGGTGGCCTGCCCCAGGGTAAGACAGCACGGTCCAGTTCTTCTTCCCATTTCTCGTCAGCTGTGATGTAGCTTGCAGAGCATGTGCTTTGCTATTGAGAGCCTTGTCATCTTCTCCAACGACGAAGAGGAAATGTCCCTCAGCTTTCTCAATGGGAAAACAATATCGGCTATCCACATCTCCAGTTTGTTCATAAGTTCGATAAAACTCTGCGAATCCCAAGGCACTGGAGGATGTAAACTCTATATTGGTAGGTGTGGGCGGGTTGATCTGACCACGATACACATGTGGAATGTCAATGACAAAGTTAGGCCCATTAATAAGTACAGTGGCTGTGATATTTTTTAAGTTAACAGCCATAGAGAGTCCGACCTCTGCTCCTTTACATACAGAAATTACCCCAACACCAGGGCCGAGGACCTGAAAACAACAAAATGTGATGTTATTCTGTCCTTCAGGTAGGAAACCCAGAAGCTCAGACAATCAAGAACTTCAATGGGAAAAGGAAGCAAGACAAGTTAAAACAAAAACAAACCAAAAAACCCCACCCACCCATATGCTTATATTTTACAGATCTGTAAATATGAAATATGAGTTCTGTAATACAGAATGTTTATTGAAGGGAATGATCTTTCAAAAGATGTATCAGGATTTACTGACTAAATACTTTGCCTGCAGTCTTATGCTTTACTTCGAGCTTAAAGTGCCCATAAAAAATACCACTATGGGGATAGTAATATATGGGGATAGATCAGTGGCACAGTGTTTCCCTAGCATGTGGAAAGCCCTAGGTTCAATCCTCAGTTACTAAAAACAAACAAACAAGCGATACAATAATTGTAGGACCAGAGAAATAACTCAGCAGGTAATGGTGCTAGCCAAATCTGAACTCTCAGAAAGTTCAGAGGAGTGGGTTTCCTACAGGAAGAGATGAAAAACAAAAGAAGTTAGGATACAGCATGAAACCTCAATAGAAAACTTTGGTTTCAAAAGGAGATTTCAAAGGGGAGTTTATCTCAGTATTGTTTTTCATGATCAGTCATCAAATAAGCATCATTAGATTACTTACCCTGTGCTAAACAGTGGGAGACCCAGAGAACAAAGAAACAGTATCTTTTCATAAGAGAACTCCCTGTGGTATGTAAAGATAGGAGGGAAGACAGACATGACTGTGGGGCAAGACACCCAGATAACTAGAGCATTACAAATTCTGTAACAATGTATACAGACAGGCCACCAGGGTCAAAGAATTTCAGAAGAGCCGGGCTTTGAAACATTTTCACACAGAAGATAGGAGACAACGCAGAGTAGATTTTATGCTGGGTGTAACTGTTAGTTTCCCATAAAAGAATCACTCTCCACAATTTTGGAGCTAACATGACCTTAATTTTGTATGGCAAACCAATATATCAGTCCCAAGGGACAAATTCAGATGGCCCAGAACCTATTGTCCATTGGTATACATCTTTTCAGCCTGTGTTTTAAGGGCTGAAAAGGCCTATAGAGTTCCTTTTTCCTCACGTAAAATGACACAGAAGCATGAAGTGAAATTCTGTGTTCTTGTCCATTCTTTCCAGCTTATGATGTTGATATGTCGACCAAATGCCTGAAACTGCTACAGCCATTGTATTACCTAGAGAGTAGAGTAACAACATTGGGGAAATCTCAGTTCAGTCTCCTTGATTAGGAACTCCACTGATTTCCTGACTCAGAGCCTGAGCCAGCTATCTCCAGAGTTCTAGATCATGAGAGTAGAAACACCCCAGTATCCGTAATGAATTCACCAGGAGAAGAATGCTTGCAAACACCCGAGGAATGAAAAGCAGTGCAATCGCAGAACCATGAGTGCTGTTTTACAACTTGAATTTAATATATAAGGTGGGAAAGAGATCAATAAAGCTGGAAAACAAAACAGGAACATGACTGAATGTGTGAAATACTGCCAAGCAGCCTTAGCTCTTCTTAACTAAAGAACAGAGTTAGGACAGGTTTCAAGGATGGGCATAAAGTAAGATGGAAGAAGTACACAGAAGGGAGCTCATAGAGTGTTTTGTGTGCCGTGCTAGCAGCCCTGCCTGTTGTTCTGCAGTAAATGGTACTATTGTACACAAATGAGCAAAACAACTGTGCTCTAAAGAGCTAGTCTCACAACTACGAGCCACAGATGGAGACGGAAAAGCAGAGCTTACTGCAATGCAAAATAGTATACACAAGAAATGCTGTTGCCATTTCTTTGGGGGAAAATAATTGGAGAAATGTTTTTGAGTTATTTGTGAGTATAAAAATATATGCGTAGTCATTAGTGAGACGTGGCTGTGCCTGGAAGGAGTTAAAGATAATTTGTTCTGGGTGACACACACACAAAAAAATACAACCTTGAATAGCCTGAGACCTGGTCCATTTCAAACACAGAGTTTAAGAGTTATGCAATTTGGGAGTCTTTTGGATAGACCCGCTGAAGGGGTACTCCAATTGCCTCACCCTGTGTCCCTGTTCAGCATGGAAGAAGCCAGAGCAGTCAGCATCCCTATTCCCTATTGGCAATTAGGGTAACCCCTTCAGAGGATGGCGTGATAAGAATAGGAGGTAGGAATTGGCTAGGCAGTTAGGATAAAAAGACCCCAAAGAAATGTAACCAGTTTCTGGGCTAAAAGTCATTCCCTTGGGCTTGTTAGCCACATACTCTGTTCTAAGGCCAAAAATGTCAAAAGTATTTGGGAACTTGTAT